CCCTCCCAAATACCATGCCCTCCCTCCCCGTTTCAATGGCAGCCGAAGCAGCAGCAAAGCAGAGGCTGACAGGAGGGGTTGGCAACCTTAAACACTCAAAGAGCCACAAAAGTCCTAATCCGAAGCCCCCCTTTCAATTCTGGAGCCGACTGGAAGTCCGGTTTCCCCACCATAGTGTCTCCTCCTAGTGTGGCATCTCTTTTCCTTTACCAGTCCTAATCGAAAGGCCTATAAATTGTGGAGTCCCTTGCCACAGAGTCTCTTCCTGGTGCACCCTGCTGCCGCCCCCCCCCCAAAAAAACCTGGAAGCTTCTCTCAAAATTGTGGTGCTGACTGACTGGTGACAGGGAGCCGCAGCAGAGGAATGAAAGAACCACATGCAGCTCCAGAGCTGCGGGTTGCTGACATACACACTTTCTGTCTTTGTATGTATCTTGTAGTCTGTGTTTTTATTTCTCACTATTGTTCGCAAGGATTCAGCATATAACACAATCAATTCTATGTCCAGTTTCCATCTGGTCAATTTTCCCCAATTAGAAAAGACTTGAAGGATAAAAAAATGTAATATACTCACACAGTGGGTTGGCTAATAAAAGCATTTTTATGAAGCCTGTATGACACGTGGCTAGGGAAAGATCCCGACTGCAAGGAAACTCCAGGTACCGAAGAAAAATATTTCTCTGTTAAATTGTAAGCTTCCAGCATTCTGAATCCTGTTATGTCGGAATAAAGAGAAAACAGAAAGAATAATGATGGGATTTAGACACCATGTGAAGTAAGACCTTACTAAATTGGAATATTCATGTGTTGTTTCTTACCAGGGGAAGTGTATCCATCCAAGTACATGAGAGGACAACCTGGGGGGGGGGGGGGGAGAAACAGATACAGCATGAATGAGCACTGGCATTGTTACTAGAAGCACACAGCTGCCTGCAAAGAAATGTCCTCTATAGATGCAGAACTAAAAATACCACCAATCTTAGCTTTCTTCAATATGGTCATTTATTTACTTACTTAATATACAGCATGCCATAACTGGTCCAGCAATTAACATTAGTAAAACACAATAAAAATGTTTAAAAGATCTAGGTGCCTGTTAGAAACTGGGCCACACAAGTAGTAGGCGAGCAGGTGAAGCTTCATCTGCACGTGTGCGGGATCTAGGCTGAACTCGAAACCATGCCCCCCCCCCCCTTTATAGCAGTTATAGCAGTTAGACTTATATACCGCTTCATAGGGCTTTCAGCCCTCTCTAAGCNCATTCTGGTGTTGTTTCTAGCCTAATCTTTATTGTCCTGCTTACAGAAACACCCCTCTCCGGTTAACCCTTATTACCATTGTAATAACTAAGGCGAAGTGCCATTCGACATGAGTGATGTTGAGTTGGCCACACCTACCCAGTCACATGACCATTGAGCCCCACCTAACCAGCTGGTCATTAGGGCAGAGAACTGGTTGGTAAATTATTTGAATCCCACCACTGCTCACAGCCCACCTAAACATTATTACAACTTGCAAGTTGATGGCAAATTAGCTGCAATGTGCCTAACAATATTCTGTCCAACTGATTTCTGATACTGTATAAACTATGTCAGGCTAAAACTTTACTATTTTACTTTGTGGAAATATTTTGAAATATTCAAAAAGTAAAACATCCTCTGTCCATTCTATTCATACATCCGGTCCATAGTTCATAGGGAGAAGGGGGCTTACGGTCAAGAACAACTCCAACTTGTGGTTTGTAATTTCTGTCTGTTATCTGCCAAATTGCAAATGGTTCATTAGAGGTTTCCGAGAGAAGACGGAATAAAAATATTATTGTGTAAGCCTTTGATAATCCATCCGGATGAATATCCCTATTAAAGAGAGCAGAAACATATCTCTCACCAAAAATATACATGATTAAAAACAGTGAAATGGGAGACATATACATTTAATAAATAATTAAATAACATTTAATCTTAGTCATGGTTAATAAGACTGAATGCCAGTGTGTTGTTTAATAAACAGCACTCAGGATTCTTGTCTGATCACTCATCACCCCTAAAAGAGTATCTAAAGGCTTAAAAGCAGCTCATCTTTAAATATAAAGAACTAAACTCTTTCTCCTGCAAAAGACAGAAAGGCTAATTTAAATCCCCCATATTATTCAGTGCATTTAGAAGTCAGGTCTTCCTTCAAACCCACTGAAAATTGTTGTGAAAATATACTGGAATTATATTTAAAGCTAAAATTTCATCAAGCTGAAATCTGGTGAAGTTTTCTTCTGCAATGGGAGAGGGTATGGGAAGAAGGACAGCAGTGATCATAATATCAACAAAAGATTATTAAATAAGATTATTCATGTTAAGATTAAGGATAAACTGTATGAGAACCATTGTGCATCAAGGATGACAGATAGAAAAAACATCTGGAGGAAGAGACCAGCAGCACTGGGAATGCAATTAAAAGAGGAATACAGTAAGACAGAAGAAATCAATCATTATTATTGAAAAAGCTTTGGGTTTTTTGCCTAGACCAGTGGTATCAAACTGGCAGCCCAAAGGCCGGATGTATCACGTGCAGGCCATGCCCACCCCAGCTTTGCAAATGGTAAAAACATCGCAAAATGTCACGTGACAGCAACATGATGCTGTTTGACACCCATGGCCTAAACTATGAATAGGGAATTCAAGTAAATCAGACACTAACACTAGAACTCTTCTCTGCAGATAATTACTGCCATTATTGTACTAGGGATGAGAAGCACAAACCCTTGGAGATGTCTCCTTCAGATCTTGAATGGGAAAATACACTCAATCATCCACCCTCTATAAGGGCTATAACCGAAAACTGCCCTAAAACTTCAGTTATCCCATAACAGAGTTGTAAAGTCACAAATGGGATTGGTTTACTTCTTCATTAAAAAAAAAAACAATTCTTTTAACAGCTGTTTCTGATTAATTTCTGGCCATTAAGTTTTAGTGTTGGCCATTAAAGCTTCAAGTGTGCTGGCTGGAGAATTCTGGGAGTCGAAGTCCACATATCTTAAAGTTGCCAAGGTTGAGAAACAGTCACAATAAGGGATATTTCCTTCCTATGCATATGCCAAAATAAACAAATAATCTTCAAAGCCTTTTCGGAGAACGCTGGCGCGAAGGCTTAGGCAGGTGGCTACAAGAAAGAAGGCCTTTTCTCAGTTGCAGTTCATCATGAAATGCCACCTTGAGGAAGGTTTAACTGTTAGCCACTTTATTGCTTTTTTTTCAGTGCCAGTTAGCATTACTTTTTATATCATATAGTTTAGGATTTAAGTCTCAGATTGTAAATAATTTTAATCCATTGCATAGAGGAGGTGTAAGCATCTCTTCATTGAGTAATTAGGAAAGAAGACCACGAGACTCCATAGGTAGAAATCAAGTGTACTTTTACTAATTATAAATGATTAGAAGTGTAGCAAAGCGAAGACTGATTATTTAGGCGTGAAAG